TGCAGACTGGTGCAACCACTATGGAAGTCAATATGGAGATAACTCAAAGAACTAGGATTAGAGGTTCCATTTGACCCAGCCATCCCTCTGTTGGGTATCTTTCCAAAAGAATTAAAATAATCATACCACAGTGATATATGCACACCCATGTTTATAGTGGCACAGTTTGTAATAGCTAAAAGTTGGAAACAGCCCATCTGCCCATCAGTTGGAAACTGGATAAAGAAGATGAGGTTTTTCTACAAAATGGAATACTACTCAGCCATAAAGAATGAGAAAGTAGATTCATTCCTAGGTGAATGGGTACATGTTGAGGATATACTCCTAAGTGAAATAGATAAGTCACACATATGCAAATACCGAATAGTTTCTCTGGTGTGAAAACTAAAATAGTACTCAAGATCCTAACGGGACAATTAGCAATGTGAAATAGGAAGAAAAGACCAAAGGTGTAGGGACAGTGAGAAGGATAGGGAAAGGGGAATAAGGGAAAAGGAAAAAAATATGAGAAAATGTAAAAATGGAATTAAAGTGTTTGAAGGTGGGGAGGGGAGGAGGGGGTGAAGGGAGGGCAGGGACAAGGGGAAAAAATGAGAACCAAGACCTGGCATGTAAAGGTACAAGATCCCAGTAATGAATGTAACTGTACTGTCTACCTAGAATGTACCAATAAATTCAATAGATGCCCATAAAAAAAAATGCAATGTGGAATCCTGGGACAGAGAAAGGACATCACCAAAAAAGCTGAGGAAATTTGAATGAAGAATCCACATTGATTAAATTATCAATATTGGTTCATCAATTGTGATACATACCACAATAATCTGTTAATAGGGAAAACTGGGTATGTGGTACATGGGAATTTTTTGCACTAACTCTGTAAATGTGAAGTTGTTTTAAAATCAGAAGTTTATCTTAAGGCACACCCAAGGGAAGCCAATGAGCGGATTTTCATGGGAAGGCATTCTAGTAATTTCTATGAGGTGGTCCATTTGTTTTTATAAAAGGAAATGTTTGAAGTTGAAAGTTGCAGTTCTCAGTTAGGCCCTCCCATATTATACTAAGTAGGATAAAGAGGGGCATAACACACCACAACGTAGCCAAACACCAGGACACGTTACAGGGAGACAGGATGTAACTAAATAGGTCTCCACAGCAGTGACCCAAGGCTCCTATCCTGCATCATCCAACCTGAATCACACAAAAAACAGAAATATGAGGAAGCAAGGCACAGGATGCTGCCTCAAATACGTTAACTCCTGCAAAGCAGATTATAGGCAAAGAATTCAAAACCAAAATGGTCAAAATGTCTGAAGAGCTCAAAGAAGAAACAAATAATAAACTGAGTTAACACAACACTGCACCTCAAGGTCCTGGAAAGATAAGAACAATCCAAATCCAGAATGTGGGTTATGTAGCACTCAGCTGTGGACCAGCCGCCACAGATGGCCACATTTAACTTTGCACTGTTTTCTCTAACTGCTACTTCAGAGAGCAATAAGTTCTGGCTTTGTTTTGGTCTCTGTTACATGGGTTTGTGCTAGAGCATCTGCTGCTGTACCTTCCCTGATAAGACTCCTACCTACGTCGTTTCCCATTCTCTGTTTCCACCTCTCCAACACGTTCCCTGCTCATCCATTCTCCACTGTTCCACTGCACCCCTCATTCCCTCAGCTGCCAAGAGCTTCCTAACCCACCTAACACAGTGGTCCTCAGGGTGATGTTGCCTTCCAAGAGACATGTGGCAGTGCTCCGACCCATCTCACAACTGGAGAGGGGCCTATGGCATTTTCAGACAAAGAACAGAAGTGCTGCTAAACATCCTGCAATGTACAAGGCATTCCCCCACAACAACGACTTATGTGGCCCAAAATTTTAAGTGCTGAGGTTGAGCAGACGTCGTCTACCCATCACGTTCTTCTAGTCATGTAACCGCATCACAGATGGGACCCCTTGTGCCATAGCGGTCAGACGCCCATCTATCACTTCTTGAATGACCTTTCCCGCACCTGCAGTGAATTTCAATGTGGCCTCTCCTAGAAAGGAGTCCAGACTGTGATTCCTAGGCCCCCTTAGGAGCCAGGGCTCAGACCTGAAACTAAAACTAATCTAGCAGACACAACCTTTGAGGGTTGGATTTGGAAGAGAAGTGGTAGTCTTTTGAGAGTTTGGCAAGTTGTTGGTGCAGGGAGACTCCAAAACTCATGATAGTGGGTGAGGCCATGGCAGTCATTCCCCTGTGGTTCCAGAAATTTCCTTCAGCCCGAGTGAAGTGGCAGCAACAGCGTCAGTCTAGTTTTAATAGTTTCCTCATCAGGCATGTATTTTTTGTGAGGCTCCAGACTTCAACAGTGGAAGCTCAGTCTGGGTCACTTGCACAGTCCCTCCCAAAATAATTCTACACAGGATCCTCCTAAACACCTTTACTTTTTGGAACTGGGGATCAAACTTGGGACCTTGCACTTGCTAGGCAGGCAGTGGAACCACTGAGCTAAATCCTTGGCTCCTAAACACCTCTTATGTGTGTGGTCACCTTCTATTGATCACCTAAGAGCAACAAAGACTCCCCCACCAATAACTCTCCATTGACTTCATATACATTCTAGAATATGTCTCACACACTTTGCTTAGTCCAAGGCTCTTCATTTGGGATGTATCCATTCATTCTGGTCACACAGTCACTCTGGTCCTGTTTTCCTTCTTTAATCCCATCATTTCTTGTTATTAAAGAATCCTATGGCACAGCAACCGTCTTATATGTACCCCAGTTCTCAGGTCTATGTGTATCGATATCACCGAGAAACCTTTTTACAATCCACTGCAAGAGCTGATTCAGTTAACTGTGAGCTCTGCATGGGCAGGAACATACTTTTATTGTTTGAATGTCTCCTTAGTATATTATATTGCAAAGTAGGTGATGAAAGCTTAAGAAATGAGACAAGAGCTGCCACCTACTGGGAGAAAATTTAACTCAATAACTTTGGACAGTGGTAGATCCTTCAGAATGGAAATGTGACAATATTCTCTCCCTCATCTAAATTGACCCTCTGTGGTAGCCAGCCTTCAGGATGCTCCCCAATGATCCTCATCTATTATTATTCAAGCCTTTGGGTTGATCTTCCCACACTAATGGGTTGGTTTGGAACCAAAATATGATAGAGCAATGACACAATGAAGTGCGATAAAAAACTATGGCTAATGTTTAATTTAAATAATGTACTAAAGACATTGCCATTGATCCCCCTCAAAATTCGCCTCCTGCTTTGAACACACTTAGCGCATTGTTCTTGCCACTTTCTGAAGCAGCTCTGGAGTCCTCTTTCCTGTCTTTAAGTTGTGCTGTCATGGCTGCTTCAAGGTCCTGAATCAATGCAAAACACTGATCTTTCATGGCATTTTGACTTTAGGGAAGTTGCAGTGTCAGACCTGGTGCCAGACCACATTTTGACAAGAAATTGCCATGAACATTTTGAACTGATTCAGGACACTGAGAGGTAGCCCCAAAAGCACAACTAAAGATACTCATGAAAGAGGACTTCCAAAATTGCCTCAGCAAATGGCAAGAACAAGGGGCTGTGTCTGCAGGTGGGGGGGTATTTTGAAGGGGATTAATGGCTATGTGTCATTTATCACAATAAAATTTTAAATTGAAATACTTATCACACACCATGTAAGGTCTAAGGCTAGAATAGAAAGACATTGTGGCTTTTGTCTTGGCCTCTTGGGTCATGGGCTCTGAGGGGTACCCAACAGCCTTTTAGGGAGGTCCATGTGGTAAAAACCTGCAGCCTCCTGCCAATAGTCTTAAGAATGAGCCATTCTGGAAGTTGTTCCTCTGGCCTGAGCAACCGGATTTTGATGTTTGTACAGGGGCTGCTCAAGTGAAACATGCCTGAGACAGAAGCATACCATCTTATTCAGAGCTGGCCCTTAAGAAGATAGAGAGGTTTCTTTGCAGCCTTGTCTATTTTATGGGTCTCAGGAGCAAGAGGTACCCAGGAGACAATACGGGAAAGTCTTTGTCCAGGGGTGTTGTCGTTGGGGACGTGAACAATAGCCAGACAGCAGGAATGTAGTTTAGCTGAGGAGTAGAAGGCTGATGCTCTCACAGGCAAACAGTAGCCAACTCTCACTCTTGGCTTTTATTAGATATACGCACAATATTTCCATGAGAATAAAGTTAGTTTCTTAGAGATTATCTCTAGCAAAGCATTAGAAAATATTTTTTATGAACACCTACCTGGTTCTAGTTATTCATATACTTTTTCAAAACAGACTGTTCCCAGAATGTTATTGGATGGTTCTCAAGACTGTTTGCAGTCTCGAACTTCTGAGTTGTGGCTCTGTGCGCAGAACCACAACTGCAGTTCCTTTTCCAAACTGTGCCCCCATGTAACCTTCTCCTCTGCACAGGGAGTGTGCGTGCGTGTGTGTGTGTGTGTGTGTGTGCACGCGCACCTGCCTCTTCAGCCAGTCTGTGTCTCTTCTTCATAGAAAGGGAACCAGACCTCTAACTCCTGGGCTCAAGAATCTACATTTTGTTTTCAGACAGACACATTATTTTCCTGTAAGTCAACTCATGAGTTGAGGTATGGAGTGTTCATTACACATGCCTCTACTCAGAATTTAGAATATTATGTGAAAGGAACAGGTCCTCACAAGCGAGACTTTGAGGCTGGCTGGACATGGTAGTGCACGCCTGTATTCGAACTACTCTGGGAGGCTGAGGCAGGAGGATCACAAGTTCCAACCTGGCCTGCGCCATCTTGAGATCTAAGGAGACCCTGTTTCCAAAAAAAGGCTGAGGATATAGCTCAGTGTGAAAGCCTTGGGTTCGATCCCGGCACCACAAAACCCACCAGGCGAAAAGCAAACCTTAAAGCAGAACCATCGAGTCGGGCCATCGCCAAATTCCTGGCTTAGCGAACCTGGTGTTGCGTTAAGCGGGTAAGCTTTGAAGTGACTGTTTTAGCACCACTTTCCGACACAGAACCGAGGCTACACGTTGAGTTATGTCTGCTGCGGTACGATGAACATTCTGGAGTCAGGTTCAATCCCGGGCTTCTCCAGGCGACGCCCGAAAGACACCGGCACTTCGAGAACACGTATGACCAACCACACTTCCGGAGCCACCGGGAGAAAGCCATGAGCGCACCGCAGCGGAAGTGCGGGGTCCGTCCTTCCGGGTCGTGACCAGCGCCTGCGCAATGTGCCCCCGCCTGCGGTACGATGAACATTCTGGAGTCAGGTTCAATCCCGGGCTTCTCCAGGCGACGCCCGAAAGACACCGGCACTTCGAGAACACGTATGACCAACCACACTTCCGGAGCCACCGGGAGAAAGCCATGAGCGCACCGCAGCGGAAGTGCGGGGTCCGTCCTTCCGGGTCGTGACCAGCGCCTGCGCAATGTGCCCCCGCTCGCCAGGCTGCACATCCGACATCCGA